AGGTAATAGAAAACTGAAACAGGTTGCCCAGAGAAGTTGTGGAGTCTCCATACAAAGAAAATTCTAAACTCCATGGGGCAAAGTCCTGAGCAACCTGCTGTAGGTGACCCTGCTTTGAGCAGAGGGGTTGGACTAGGTGATCTCCAGACACACCCGTGTTCTTTGAACTGGATTCATCTAGTACAACTTCATAATCACTTCCTGCCTTGTGTTGTCTCTGTACACACATCAGAAATTTTAAGAGCTTTCCAGCCTACCAGACACATACTGAAAACCAGGCAAGATACCTGTGCATTTGTTTTCTATTCATGCCATGAATTACGATGTGCCCTACAAGAGGAGTTTTCTGTAACTTTCTGTTTGCCACATTTTTAGTGGCAGGTGAGCTGAAGAATATGTGGTGCTATTTTTAAGTATTCCAAAATAAGCATCTACATTACTAACTTTTATAAAGTTAGTAATAAACTAATTGTGGAACTAATTGTGTATGTAGCAATGAAAAGAACAGAAATGCAAAGGGAAGCAGATAATGGTAATCAAAGGAGATAAAAATTACACCTTCAGAGGAGCCCACATATGTGCTAAAATTTCAGAAGCAGCTGAAGGAGGGTTTTTTTATGTATTTGCTGACAAAGAATTAAGAGTTTCTTGTATTTTTATACAAGAAGTAAGTTTTGTTCTTTGCAAAGATTCTGATTAAGTTTTTTCAAAGCACATTACTGATCTTAGCTGTGTATTTGAAAGACACACTGAAACAAAGCTAAACTTTCTGGATGCAGTGTGACACAGTGGGAACTTCACATCTCAAAACCTGAAGTTGCCAATAACCCTGGAGCAGTAAAATCATAGAATCACTGAATGATTTAGGTTGGAAAAGGCCTTTAAGATCAAGTCCAACCATTAACCTAGCACTGCCAAGTCCACCACTATACCGTGTTCCTAAGTGCCACCTCTACTCATCTTTTAAATGCCTTCAGGGACAGTGACTCAACCACTTCCCTGGGCAGCCTTTTCCAACAGTAGTAACTTCAAGACCAGTGAACAGTTAGTGTTAGCTTCCCCTTTAGAACCTATTCAGTACTATCAATCTTTAGCATGAGAACGCCAAATTTACTGCAAAGAAATGAAAGAAAAGAATGTTCCTGCAAAGTTTCAAGAAAACTCAAATTATTTTATTCACAAAAGCAGAAGTCAATAAAAATATAGATATCCTGATCAGTTTTACAGACCATGTTCATTTCTTCTCTCCTTCACTGACAGGCAAAGCATCATGAAAAAAAATAGTAACAAGCATTTACATCACAAACCATTATTAACAGAGATTCATGTATATGAGCAAATGTTTTAAAGGTTTTGCATATAATTATAAATACAAAAAAATTACAGGTCCAACAAAACACTTCAAGAAAAACAACTCTCATTTTTACCTTGTTTCTGTGCTGTATTATTTTCAGTGGTGAAAAAAGTGTGTGCTGTCCCACTGGCATTTAACAAATAGGTTTTGGGTTAAACTGAAATTTAGCATGAGCTCACTCCTTGAAGCGTTCTCTTGAACTCCACAAACCTTGATAGATCAGATTGGGATTTTTGTGCTAGATTTCCCAAGCGATGCCAAAAAGACAGTCCACACTGCTACTAATAGTATCAGGAAGCTCATTGGGTTTTAGTTATGGAGCACCCTGCACAGAAGTAACTGAAGATACATCCTTGTTGTTCAAATCCAGCTCCTGTCAGCTCAGTGTTCATGCATGAAACTGGAGCCAAATCTTTCCTCTGCTGTAGACATGAGTTCTGCCTAGAAATCACAAGTGAGTTTTGTGACGTTTATACAAGTCTGGCTTTCAGCACCATGATGGAAGACAACTGAGATTAAGGAACAAGGCCAAACATTTCTGGTTTGGTTTGTTTGTGGTCTTTTGTTGCGGGTTTGTGCTGTTTGTTTGGGTTTTTTAACCCAGCTACTAGGACTAAACCCACACCTGGAAAAATTCCCACCAAGATAACCAGACCAAGTGCAATTTTATTTGTTTTTATTCTGCTTTTATGCCTTTCAACTTTAGAGAGAGGAGGAATTTGTGACCTCTTCCATTATAATGGTAACTGTTGACAAAAATGTTTTTTAGAACAGGTTACAGAATTATAAACCAAGAATTATTTGAAAACAAAAAACAAACAGAGAATGCTGTCATTTTTCAAAAGGCAAGTACCGAACTAGGACAAAACACTGAAGTACAGAGACTGACTTTCAAAAAGGGTTGTCTTGTACAGAAAACAACCCATTATTATTACTGCTGTAATTCTGATAATCAAAATCTACAATAATATTTCAGGTTACTTGCATGCAAAGTGCTTCCTGCTTCTGCCTACCTGAACTCTGGGAGCATCACAACTGGGAGAGAGTTTGCTCTTCTAGAAAAGAGAAAATCCATTTTCATATATAAATAATTCTTGCTACAAGAGATCATTTAGACTACCTAGCTCCTCAGGCCATAACTATACCTATATTATTTCTTATAACTTTATCTCCCATTCTTTAAAATATCCAGCAATAGGTCACTGAAAAGCAGGGACTCATGCTTCAGCCTGACTACAGGAAAAGAGTTGACAGAATTGAAAGCACTTGTTGCCAAAGGAAAGCCCTACCCTCTTCTTACTGCAGCCTGGGTACTCACAGAGGTGTAAGCTGTTGTAGCATGCATTTTCAGCTGACTACCTGCAGAACGAAATCTAGGCTACAGTCCCACTGACTTGAGCATGTCAGGGTATCGTACCTAACGTACAGAATAAGCAACCCATATCACCAAGTACTACAGACTGAAGAAACACAGGCAAGAGTATTTCCATCAAACTTGAGTTCTCCACTGAAGTCTGCTGCAGGTTCTTGCAATTACGTGACTGCATCTCTCCACAACTCACCCTTCCCCCCAGCCTACCCTCTCTGTTGAGCTTGCACTCGCAGTACCAGACAGAAATAGTACACACGGCCTCCTTTCACAGAAGCAGGAAGCGTACATTACCAGTCATGATCACTTGGCATGACTCCAACACCATCTTCAAAATTCGACTATTTAATAGAAAATTTCATTTTAATTTTACAAAATACAGATACACCACTACCCAATGTAGCAAAAGAATGGAATTGAAAAATAATTTCAAATATTTAACACATTAGGTTCTAAAATAAATAATGCTATCTAAAGAAGTGTTCAGGTTTTACAATTACGAGGAGGCAGTTCCACTATTACTGATCTCTTTTTCAACTTCTTTACAAGTTCCATAGTTTATGTAGAAAAATATACAGGAAAAGAATTTTGGGATAAAGAATAACTTGGGTATGTAACATTTAACATAAATAAAAAGCCTAAAGCAAAACCAAAAAGAAAACCAATTGTTTTATTTCTGTACATCAAGACTACAAATAGTATTTTAACACATCATTTATTACCCAAATTAAGAAATTATACATTTTTATATGGTTACTAGTAAACATCTTAAAATCACTCAGTTTTCCCACATTTAAAAGGATATTGCTGGTTACTGCTTATTAAATATGAAATCCAACAGTTTCCAGTAACAGCAAAATATTTTTTTGCATAAGAGATGAATACAAATTTGATTGTAATTTTTGATGATTCAAAATATAATATTAAAGTTCAGAGGGCTGCACTTACGGATCTTGCAGTTTGAACTATAATTCCTTTCTTTACATGGACTGCAGTTTGCATACGAACACCCAACAATGTGCCTACTACTAGAAGCTCAGTTCCTTCCATGTGAAAGCATTTTTTTTCCCAGATATCAAATTATATTAAGCAGCATATTCCCACCTACTCTTCTTAGCAGAAAAACCGCAGACAGATGGATAGAAAAGCTGTTTAATCACCAAAAAAATAAGGAGTTTAACTAATGTCTACGGCACAGGTACAACATTTCAAGATGGAAAGAAATGACAGGGAAAAGGAATGTGACTACCACAGGCTTCAAATATAAAAGATAAAGCCTGATAACTTTGGTTCAAATAATTTTAATAGTTGTTACATGTGTATTTTTCCAAAGTGATGACTTCTGTATGTACTGTGTATGCAACAGGAGTTGATACATTTAAAAAGAAAACAAAAAGTCTGTACAGGCACAAAAGACAGAAACAGGACAAAGAAAACATGGACAGTCACATCCACTCACAACAGTGTTCAAGTGATAATGATGCAGCCAAAGGTTGAACTTAAAATAATGCCAATTGGTTTTCTCCAAGGTATTTCAGAAAGCACAAATGGAGTTTTATGAATGTTTTATCTCAGTGCCTACCATCTTGAGGGAAGGCTGTGTTCTGCACTCAGCTCTAACAGTTATTTCTCTCCTTCCCAGTAGCTGGTGCAGCGCTGTGTTTTGGCTTTAGTCTGAGAACAATGCTGATAACACACCAACGTTTTAGTTCATGCTCAGTAGCACTTACCCTGATCAAGGACTTTTCAGTCTCATGCTCTGCCAGGGAGGAGGGGCACCAGAAGTTGGGAGGAAGCAGAGACAGGACAGCTGACCCAAACTGGCCAAAGGGGTATTCCATACCACAGCACGTCATGCCCAGTAGAGAAACTGGGGGGAGTTACCCGAAGGCCGAGATCACTGCTTAGGTCAGGCTGGGTAGCGGGTGGTGAGCAACTGTATTGTGCATCACTTGTGTTTATTGTTTTGTTTCCTTTCCCCTTTTAGTTTTATATTCTCTCCCCTTGTTACTTCCCTTAGCATTATTAGTAGCAGTAGTAGTTTTATATTACACTTTAGTTACTGGACTGTTCTTATCTCAATCTGTGGGATTTACATGCTTTAGATTTTCCTCCCCATCCCGTCCAGAGAGGGGAAATGGAGGGGGGGGCGTGAGCAAATGGCTGCGTGATGCTGAGTTACCGGCTGGACTTAAACCACAACAGGTAGTATAAAACATCAGCTCTGCAACAATTATGGTTTGTAAACAATTCTACAACGTATGTAAAGATGTTAGGTTATCGGTAATGAGCATTTCCATCCCCTCAGTTCTGGGATATCTGCAAACATCTGCTTCACTTCCATCTAAAAGATTAATTACAGGATGTTAGCCCTGTCTCATCCCAATGCGCTGCATGGTACGCAACTTTATTGCCAGTTTGTGAAATTATTTGTTTGAACAGCACAAAGCCAAAGCTTTCTCTTTGGTTAATTTCACCGAGATGTCACGGTTCTTTAAATGTGCTCTTTCGTCGCATAACACAGAGAACAGCCACACTGCGCACAGCATTCATTGTTTTGAATCATAAAGCAGGGTCAGTGTAATATTAATTAATGAAAGCTAACTAAGAAATTGTGTTTAAAAATGAAACTTATTTGAGGGCATTTGATAAGACACAAGAGCTGCAGAAATCTAGACAGAATTCCCTTAAAACTGCTGGGGTATGGGTGCTGCTTATAGAGTAGGCACTGGTTAGTTCCTCTGCAGATCATCCAAATAAGCATCAGTTCGACTCAGCTTAATTCAAATCCAGCAGCACATTCAATGGCATAAAGGAGCTTGCTTCGCATAAGATTTTCATCATAAAACTCAGGCAGCTTCAGCAAGTTCATGCAGGTACTGGCAGTAGGTAGCCTGTCTAAATCAGATCCTCCATTGTGAATGCAAAATGCAGGATATAACTCCTGAAAAACGCAACAGAAAAAAAGGTATCAAAACTCACATACAAGCTAAAGCCTATGCCCTAACAGCCAGCACAGATTTCTATGAAATAAATCATTAGATTAACACCTGTCACAATGACATACTCAAATGACATTTTCTTTCATTCCTGGTGGCTCCAAAAGCACTCTTGAATTGTGCAGTGCCTCCTTCTACCTTGTCCCTACCAAGATCCATTAATTTGCATAAGACAACGCAATTTATTTGGTTTCCAGAAAAAAAAAAAAATAAATAAATCATCTGTTGTTGTTCACACACCCTATTCTGCAAATTTATGATGCTACAAAAACAGTGAAACGCAAAATGGAAAAGTAATACAGCAACACATGAGGAATTTTTTGTTGTAGTTAGGAGGAACAACAGGGATTCACAACTGCAGATTCTCCTTACATAACCTCCCAAATGCCCATGGATGCTTGCTGATTCTTCAGGAATGGGAAAATGATGGGTTCCTGCTACCCTGATGCTTTCTGACAGTGAAATACATGTTGAACACACGGAACAGGCCACTAGCAGTAACAGAGGTAAATGAAAAAAGATGTTCTGTCATGTCTGAATGACGCATAATATTTGTCGTCGTATAATAACATGTCATCTTTGAGAACTGTGCTTTGGGTTTTTTTATTCTTTCCATCAGGGAAGACATCATTTCTGTAGACACAAAAATCCCAACAAAGGCAATTTTGCTCCAGCTAATGAAGCAATGTGCTATGTCAGTTGCAACATTCTCCTGTTAAACAGTATTCCATTTTTATGCACAGATTCTACACAAGCATTTACTTGTCTTGTTAGAGTGATGCTCTGAGGAGAAAGAGGATGAATGAGTGAACAGATCTAAGAACAATTTGATACAGTTCTAGTACTACATCAACTTCTTTATGGCATTAAAAAAAAACCCCAATAACATACTTTGATCAAACATACCCTTTCTAGTGTTTTCCTTCTAGAGCTCTTAATCCTGACTATACAAAAAAATGTATAAAATACATTCTTAAAGTGGCTGAGTATCAAGCCATCATTTCCTTCTCTTCCTCACAATATAAAATGGTATTTTCTTTGTTAAAATCAATTCTCTGATGGAATGCTAAAGGCATTTTTCGCCTGAAGGGGATTTGTCTAAACTAATCTTCCAGCAAGCCTACAATTTATGAATTTCAAGATGAACAGCATGACATGGTCTAATGTGAGGCATCCCTGCACATACTAGATGATCTTAAGGTCCTTTCCAACCCAAACCATTCTATGATTCTATGTGTAAGATTAAGCAAGTATTTATACTACCATGGTCTAGAACTCTGAATTGATAGGTACTTTGTATTCTCCAAATAAAAATCTAACTTTATTTAAAGTAATTATACTCAGTGTTTCTTTGCAGAGATTACAAAGTCACTCGGCTGTTACTGGGATCATATTGATATGCATAATGAGTCTGTAATGATACAAACTTGTCAAACCTCAATTATTCTTCTAATGTGAAAACTATTGATCTGAGGAGCAGACTTTTAAGACATTTTGTATGCAAAATTTAATTGTTTTAATAATAATATCTTATTTTTTCTTCTGAGAAAGAGTATAAGGAAAAATGTATTTTATATTACCTCTAAATATATATATACGTTACCTCTACGGCAGTGCTTTCACTGGCAAGAAAGTATTAATTTTATCAAATGCTTGCCTGAGGTAAAACAGTTCTGATTTTAGAAACTGGAAAAAAAAAAAATTGCAGCTCCAAAGGCAAAAGGTCAATGCGACTCTAAGCTAAATTACTGTTCAAATGGAGGCCTTGAAAGTATTTCATGGTTAAAATGCTGTATTTTTAGTGTTCCTTTCAAAATGCTAATTGAATTCCCCTACTTTAGCTTTAAAAATGGAAAAATTAAGTTCTAAATTGAAATGTCGTGCCAAGGGCACCATTTGTTGCATAATTAAATACTGTACAGCGGGAAACTGCAACAGTTTGGAAGTGAAAAGTATCATCAATTTATTATGTGACCTGATTGGAACTTAACTATTTTCAACCACACTTTAATGATTTTTTTTTTTGTCCGTAACAATCACATTTATTAAACTTATTAAACTTTAATTAGCTTTAGTAAACGTTATTCTGAGTCTGAAGCTAGCAGTGAAAGTAGCAATTTTTTGAACAGTGCAAAGCTAGACCATGCTATGTGTAAGCTCTGAACATCGAGACGTTTCCTCATCTTATATTAATGCACCAACTTTCAGAAAACGAGACAGCTCCACACTATAAAGCATACAGAAGATTTCAGGGGAGAACCAGAAATTGTGTTCTTCTCAGAAAATTTTGGTACACTCATTAAAACTGCAAACAATTTTTGAAGATAGCTTGCGTTAATGTCTACCAACATAAATATATTCAGGCAGTTACTTGGCTGGTAATATTCAGCATTCCTGCAGCTTTGCACTCTTCACCTTGAAAGCTCTAAACACATTGTCACAGGCTACCAGGACATTACTGCTGATGACAATACCAGTTACCCACTTCCTGTTCTGAAAAGCATTTCCCAGCAAATCCCTGGTTTGCTGGTAAATCCACGTGAACAAGATACTTCTGCAAGCACCATGCAAGTACTGACATAACCCCACTCAGTGCTGCACAGCAAAGCAGCAGCAATGCCTTATCACTGTACTTCCTGTTGCCAAGACTCTTGCATGCAGCTGAGCTTAATCTTTTAACTTATTATTATCATGCTGAAAATTTGATGACTATTTTACTTCCATTTTATCCCAGCCAAGTATGTTAAAGTCAGGTTGTGGCCTATCTCCCAAGTACACACGCGAACTTCAGCTTTCCACATTTGGCTTCTTTCTAATGTGTCACTGCCAGCCTCAGTATTTTTAGACTTTTGATTCACTTCCTCCATCTCTTCAAATGTCACGCTGGCTACCTCAAAGCTGGGTAGCTACATCCACACCTCTTCCTCTCCCCTTGTAATTAAAAAGGATGACAACAAATGGAGAGTTCCGTTTACTTTGTTTCCACACAGTAGCTTCCCAGTTCTCCCTTCATTACGTGACTGATGCACACTATTCTATCTTGTTCTCGTCCCGCAGTTCTCCAATTGTTTTTCCCACTGTCCCATAAAATCCTGTTTGTTGCTAGAGTACTGTACAGGGATATTCACACGGACTTGGAGAGTTTGAGAGAAGTGCTTGCAGGCTTTTAAATAATCAATCACAGAAATCAATCAATGAATACCCTAGATAAGATTCATGTGATTAAACAGCCATCTCTGTTGTATCTAAATCCAAATCCAGTCACCCTGGACACTTCACTGTTAAAGGGGATCTGGTTCATATGTTTTGTGGAGTCTAAGACATGAATAATTTCACCCTGAAGTAGACACGTGGAATAGTCACACAAATTACTGACTGGAAGTGCCAATTCCTCTCCTCGGGGCCTATAAAAGGAGTGTAGCTGAGCTACAGATTATAGATACTGAAGATGGAGGATATGCTGCCTATCCACATGCTAACAGCACCACACAGCACTTGCTACAGCAGCTGAAAGGATTATGTAAATGGGTGAGACTGAACAGAGGGTTACAGAACAACTGCACCAAAGGGAGTTTTATATGATCATACACTGCAGTGGCAGTGCTGCATATCTAAACAAAGAAGAAGAAAAATAAACAAAAGGATTGAAAGGGGAAGAGACTGTGAAGTTGCAATGTAAGGGGATAGATAGAAGTCAAAGGAAAAGGGCCATGCTTCCCTGCAGCACGTGGCACTAGAAACAACTCTTCCACTTGAAAATCGCCCTGCAGCCTGAAAGAAAATAACCTATTTAAGCCACTGGGAGTATTCTTTCATCACCCCTAGCAAATGATCCACAAACTACTATATAAATGTTAAATCATTCAAGTATCAGAGGTTTGTGTCTGAGACCACTGTGATTTCAGCACTGGCGTATGGCGTCTTTTTGTCTTCCACAAGAAAACTCTATTCATGAAAAAAGTAAATCATCAAAAGTTGGAAAATTCTAGAATGAATTTTAATTCAGTAAGAGAAGAAACAGGGGTAAGTATTATACAAACATCTAAGTTGTGTGTATGGAAGAGGGGGGATTTTTGTCTTAAGTTTTTACTTCTGACATCTTTATCATGTGTTACCCCCATGAAACACCACAGGAAGGGCCCAGATCCCAGATCTGAGAAGAAATTCTTCTAGCATTTGCTTTTCAAGTATTTTTTGAATGCTGATAAAAAACCCAAACAAATCCCCACACACACAAGTAAAGCAACAAACTAACCCACCAGAATGAACTTTCACAGTGTGATTCAAGCAAATCTGTGCAGAATTCCAAGTATGTTGTTTCCACCTCCAGACTATTATGTATATCTGAATTCCTTGTTCCTATATAAAATATTAGTATCTGTCCCTGAAGTATTTCTACAACAAGAAAATGTTCATTTAATACCACTTCTTTTACAAAACAGCTAATAAACCTTCAGGACTTACACAATACCTGCATTCATATTTACAGGTTCATCTACCTATTTTACCTAATAAATATAGGAAATTGGTTACTATTCACCACTAATTATTGTACCACAGTACCTTGTAATGTGATCATTTATTAAGTACATGTACTCAAATTTTGCTTAGCAGCAAATCTTCTTCTTATGTGTAACGAACTGGATGATGCAATGCCTGTATTTGTTCCACATAAGCCCACTTTGTATTAATTTTACTAAATAATACAATAGTAAGCATGCTGTTGACCACTGTGCTGAAGGTGCAAATGTTGCTATGAAGTAATTTATTCTTTTATTGTCTTACAGAAAAGCACTCAATGTTCCCACATTTTAGAGGAAATAAAATCCATAGATGGTTCTTAGCCAGAATTTTGCAGCCCAGCTGAAACTCATGGCTAAAATACCCCCAGAATTTAGCTGCGAAAGGTCTTCAACTTGCCTCAGCCTCTCTTTAGTTTTAGAAGCAGTAGACAAAAATTCTCTTCATACTTAAGTTTCACTGTAAATAGCAACCTAAAGATAGCAGCCAAATACTTACATACAAAGGGTAAATGGTAATTAGAAGGAACCATAACATATCTCCCACTTCAAATGCTTAAGAGGTTCAAATTTAATAGCTGCTTTTACATCCTAAATCTCTTTTGCCTGATTTAAAAGGCATTGTTCTTAACTCAACCTGTTCCTTGAAACTGGTAGCAACCTGCTTCTGCACAGTGACATGAAATAGCAGCAAGGATCATCCATGACAAAGAGTAACTGCGCTAACCAATGTGTTTGTAGGCTTATCGAATTTTGCAGTTAAAATAGAAACCCACAGAACAACATTTCATTAAATATTTTAAGAATATACTCATTGTACATGCAAATGCAAACACTGAAGCTGTTTCTGTAGCCACAGAGGACCAGTCTTCTCAAATTAAAAGCTTGTATCATAACCTACAGTATTTACAGAAACCTGCCAGGAAGTCAGGAAGACATATACCTTAAACCCCAGAAGAGGCGGTCGAGAGCAGCTTGTTACAAACTTGAGTAGCTTGCGTTTCTCCTCATCAGTGAAACTTTCTACAACTCTCCAGAATATTTTAATTACAGGATGGTCTGCTGTGTAGCCACCTATAATGAGATTTAAATTATTTACAGGTAGAATAGTTACATGTATGAAATAAATTCTTCAGAAAACTAGCATCAATCTTGAAAAGGGAAAATACCATAACCAGAAGGCTTAGGCTGCTGACTGTCAGTATCTACAGACCTCTTTAATCACTGCATTTTGAGTTTCTCATTTACCTATGGCTACTATCTCCCTCAGCTTCTTAACTGAAGTCTTCTTCTCTGCATCCTATACATTTATTTTAAATTAATTTTATCTAGTTTAGCATTTACCTAGTAACCTTGGATTACTGCCTTTTACTCCAAGAGTCTGCAAAATCTGCAAGACTCAGGATGTTGTTTAATGAATCAGCTTACCTTGAGGTAAGCCCAGATGTGAACTGATTATGTACTAGCTGCTTTTTTATTACATTCATGATAAATGCAAAGGAAAATGAAGTAAGGTAGCTTGCATTTCTCACAAGGGAAAAATATGAGCTCTCTCTTCAGGCTGAGTAAGAAATGATAAGTATCTGAATGCAGCTGTAGAAACAACTATCCCAAAGTCATCTGCAGACTTATTTTCACAGCAACCAGACACAACCATTGACTAACATCTATTCAGAAAAGCAATTACACATCCTCTAATTATACAGCTGAAGACTTGTGTTTAAGTGTCTGAATAAATACACTGCATGCCTATAGTTTTCAACATTTATAATATTAGGTTGTAATTATAATTTACTCAATCTTCTGAGATTCAGGCCTGTCTAGAGGGTTTGGCCCAAGTTAACAAGAATGACCCTGCAACTTTTTTTTAAAAGCTGGGATAAAAAGCAAGTTTATTTACTCCTGAGTCACTGTAATACATTTTCTTACTTAAGTAAAATATGCTTACCTGAATAGTTTGTGAAAGATTTAAGGTCATCCAAACTAATAGGAACCTGGGCACCGGAAGTCAGAACCTAATTGTGAAGGAAATTAGTTACATTACAGGCAAAAATTAGCATTTAGTTCTGTTTAAATCAATTGTTTTCTGCTGGTTTAAGCTAAGTACCTGTATTTCCTGTTGATCAAACATTCGAAGCCATTCAAGATTCACAACATTGGCCAGTCCCTGACGGAAAGCAAGGCAATGCTGTCGAATTTGTTTGTTTAGCCTGTAGTCTGCCACCAGATGGATGTACGCGATTCGGTTGGCACTGGTAACAGGAATATCTTTTCCACCTGGCTTCAGCTCAACCACCTATAAACGTAACAATTTTCATCATCTTGGTAAACTTTAATTCTGCGTGCTGTAACCATAAAGTTGAACTGCAAAACATTCCAGTAAGTGATGTGTATATTTGAAGAGTTCACTAGAATATACTCAAGAATATTCACCTCAAAATAAAATATAACATTATGACACGTTACAAAGGTACGGGGTTTTCTGTTTACGCATAAGACCACGTTCTATGGCATCCAGTTTCTAGATCTAAACCTCCAGCTGCTAGTGCAGTTAACCACATGGCCCTGTGGTTTATTACCAGAAAGCGGATTCGGCAAAGTCAGAGCTCTTTTAGGAGACAGTGCGTAAAACTAAATTCCCCACTGCAAGTCAGACAGAAACTGAGGTGAAAATCTTCCCCTTGGCAAGCTTACTGCTAGCTTCACTGATGTTAGTAAGTGCCCTGAAGAGAGAGAGAGAAGCCTGTATGAGCACAGAGCTCACACAGTGCACTGTCTTTCCAGTTGGACTGAGAAAGCTGTGCTTGACAGGCTAGGCTTGACTGTTTGGTGATCATGAATTCTGCAGGATCACATTACAGTAAAAGCAATGTCTGCTGACTCAAAATTAAGATTCTGGTACAAGCCTAATTTACAGAACTACAAGCATTTGCAATTCCTGCTGTTGACAACCTAGGCTGCACATGCTCAGTATCTTTGACAAAAGTAAAAAAGCAAACAAACAAAAAGTCAAGCCTGAACCTTGTTCTTCTACTGAGCTTAACTTGTTCTTCAAGTACATCGAGACACCTCAGCATGGAAGAATTCTTAATGAAAAGAAAAAAAAAAAAACCCAAACCAAAAAAAACAAACCCAAACTAAAGATACTGTAATTGCATTAAGATGTAAACCAGGATCAAAGGTGGTGGTTGTTAAAACACTAGAGACTTCTACATATTCTACTCTTTACTACATGTGGTTAATTCTGTTGAGTAGCAGCCCAAATGGAAGGGATTATTAGAGTACTAAGAGGAGGATTAAAAACCTGAAAAGCTGAGATACTGCCATCTTCTGAACCCTTCCAAAATGAGTATGGTTTTTTACACTCTGGAGTCAGCAATTTTTATTTATTTTTTTTTAACAACTGTGACTGCAGTCTGTGGTAACGATCACATCTTCAGAGCACAGAGAATAAAATGTGAATAGCTGCTCTTCGAACATGTTACCTGATTATGTGAGCTGTTCTAGTACCAAGTAAAATGCAAAATGGTAAGATTAAAAAAAAAAAAAAAAAAAAAAAAAATCACAGTGCTTTTCAGCATTCAGATTTTTACTTGATTCATAGCTTTTTAAGGCCAAAGGAGACCATTAAGATCTGTGAATCTCACCTCCCAGATAACACAGGCCAGAGGATTCTGTCTAGAGATTCCTGTATTTAACTCGATAAATCCATGGATGAGCTAGAGCACATTTTTTAGAGATAGGCAATCCTGGTGTAAAGACTCCATATGATGGAGTATTTACCACTTTTCTTGATAAGCTAGAACAACCTGAATTACAATAGGTGTTAAAATATATCTTACTTTCCACTTTAACCCTTCAGCTGCAAGCGTCTTGCTTTTGTTCCACCTACAGTAAAAAAATCCCTCAATACTCCACCATGTGTAGTACTGACTATGCTTAAACCCTCGTCCTAGGGTGTTCCGGTAATCTAACTGTCCCTTTCAGATTTTGTCAATGTGAGATTAATTCTACCACCACTATGTTAAAGTATCATCACAGTCTGAAACAAAATGACTAATGTAGCAGAAATAATAAATATATTATGCCATAAAGGCTAAGAAGGATGTAAAAGAGAAGGCAGAAAATAGTAACAATTGGTAGCAGTAAATGTTGATGCAGTTCACTTTTTACTCATTCAGTGTTTTCATGGCATCTTAAAGGAACTACTGCAGAATTCCCACTTATTCTGTCAGGAATGATTGTTGAAGAGTTCTTTTTCAAAACGGACACACGATAATTTATTACATCTTTAAAGATTTATCAACTTGCATTTTTATTCATCCCATTCCGCCACTAGATGGTGCAAGATAATAACACAGGTTGTACCGGCAAGACTAGAAAACTACCCAAAACGTGCAGACTTGTGTCATCACCTTATTTCCTATTTTGTAGATCCAAGTTAAAATGATTTTTTGTTTGTTTGTTTAAACTTGGCTCATTATCGAAATCATGTATTTTAAAAGCAATAAAATCATACATATTTTTAAATAAGCATTCAGATCATTCAGGCAAGGGGAAATACAAAAATGGGATAGAAAACTCCTGTTTTTAAATATCTGCAAGGCGCTTTGCAGTTTTTAATATTGTGGACAAAAGTATTGAGTTAGGCCTCTGACTGAAGGTTAGATACACTCAGAACCATGGTTGCATGCACTCAGGGTTTTCTTGGCTATAAATTCTATTTTATGTTTCTGCAGGTAAATACAAATAAAATAAAATAATAAAATATCAACTTACATTTATATTCTTAAGAAACGACCACAGTTTGTAAAAAAAAAAGTAAATCTCTATTTTATGAATGGTTGCAGTTCAAATGAACAGTTCAGACTATAATTTTGAGTTACTGTATTTACTATTTTGAACATAATTAGCACAATAATGAAATAAATACACAACAAAAATCAGGAAGACAGTCGATAATGTATTTGTCAAGCAGAATTCAGGGGCACTATATTCTGTCTTATTGGTAATAATCTGTCACACAAAATCAATTTGTAATGTGATTATGGGCAGAAAACGGCAACTCTCTGTTGACAAACTTAACGCCAGCTGCTGCTCACACACATCTGGCAGTGGCAGCTGCTTCCCAAACTAATGTAGAAAAGGAGTATTTAGAGGGTAAAATGGGAAATATTTTAGGAAAGAATAAGGTTCCTGTCATCTAGGCATTCTTTTTTTGTGTGTGAAGATGTATCTCTTCATAGAATCATAGACTTCCCAGTGCAATTTCAAAAAGCACTCTTAAAGACAGTCAAGAACTCTTACAAACTTGATTTTAGAAGAGATAAAAATATTTTATCTTTTCTCTTGGACTGAGATCACTTTTGTTCACATCACCCCTACAGTTTTTCGCTATTCTGAAAATAAGCTGATAAAGGTTTTCTTTCTTTCCCTCTCATCTGCCTTCAGATGTTCAGGCAGGAGTACCAGGTAGGAGACTGCATCTGAACACCTACGAATGCATTTGCCTTAAGTGTTACGAATCTGCCTGAGAAGGATCAGCCTCAACTTCAACATTTTGCTTCTGAGAAACCTCCAAAAAAGTCTTTCATCTAAACCACTGTATCCTAGTAAAGATGTTGCCAAGACAGAAACTTTCATAATTATTTTTAAGGCTTCAAAATTTTCTCTCAGGGAAATTTAAAGGCGAAGAATTCTTCTTCAATGTGTCAACATATCTTCAGCAACAACGATGGCATTCACATCTGTTAAAAAAGCCAAAGATGTCCCGACACCAAACTTTCCCTCCCGACACCAAACTTCCCCTACTGTATGGATTTCACAGAAACTGCTGCCATTGATATTACAGTGCTTTTCTGTGGATTTGTGCATTTGCACTTTATTTATGGAGTATTCTGATCACATCTACTGTTCTGATCCATGTAACCCTCAAGAATCAATGTTTGAGGCAAGTCGCTGTAGTACAGAATCTGCCATTTTTGAAGGAAGAAGAATAAATATTTGAATCTTCCTCTCTTCCTCTGGACGGCCATAAAACACCTTCCTCACTGTTGACATCTGAAAAGAGGAGGTGTTGTCTCCAGTTTGCTAACCTTACACTTACAAGCATTCTAGAATCATTTTGTCACCATCTAATCTACAAGATAAAAGGAAAACTAAAATCAATATACACAGCTACGTGAAGGCACCTGTAACTATGGGCTGACATTCTTTTGAGGCTGTTTTACTGGCCACCATTTTCTGCAGCAGATCCAACAGCTGAAATCTAGGCTGGTATCACTGCATTAGATAGTTCGTTATCAAAAGCTAAAGCTATCTGGTGCTGGAAGATAAGGTTGATGGCACAGCTCCCCTAATTAGCAGGTCTAATGTGCAAATTATTAAGTACCTTTTTCAACTTCTGGTGAATGCACTTTGACAATAGTTTAATGGGATCTAAAAGCACATTACGGGATTGGAATCAATACACTGATAATAGAATTTCTACCTTCTACTACTGACAGAGGCAATAGAGCCACTTTTGAATGTGTCTTTCATAGCAGATAATGCTTTTGTGCCACAATTGCTGGATGGACACTGTCATGAGGATAGCTATTTACAATGATAGATTTATGATGCATTTATTGGGCACAATTTATTAGACACTGAAGTGGTTGTTTAGCTGAAAACTAGAGATAATGTACATTCAACATAAAGAGTGCAAATTAAGCTCTTTTCCCAAAGTGAATTAGCCTTACCTTGACACAATTAGTTAGCATGCAATGGTTACATGAGCCAAATACCAGACAAAATGTATTATCCATATGAGGTTTATTAAGGTAATGAAATGAGGCATGAAAAGTAACTTGTTGCATCAAAACACAGAAGACAATGACAACCAATTAGCTCTGTTGAACTGCACTAACATGCAGTCTCATTAAAAGATGATTAATACTTCACGGGTATTGTGTACTCTCTCGAAGTATAAACACAGCAAAACAGCATCAGAATATTTAACTTACATTTCAGTTAGTTACTGATGATTATATTTAATCTTCCTTTTTAAACTTATGCCGAACAATCCAAAAGTCTTAGTAGTACCAGCCATAGCCCTCAGAGAATTTTAACGAACAAATTAGGCTTCTTGGCAAGAATGCACCTTTCTACAATGTTTATGTTGCAGCAGGTAGAGCTGGCAACATCTCTAACCTGGATCTCTACATTATTTCTGAGTGATTTCTCTTTCCTATGCCCTTCTACCTTACTTGTTGAGATAGTTTCTAACTTGTGTGGCTAATTTTTCAGGACATACAGCGTAGGTGTATAAATAATGGGAACTAAAACCGTCCCAGAAAATATTAGCTACTTTTTAGTTAAGAGACTAAACTGGATTTGTATTAGCTGCTATCAACAAAACTATTACTTTAAGTGCACAATAAAGAGTCATTGGGTCGTCATTATTTTAATCCATTATGATTTCTAACTCGAATTCCAGAGCAGGGAAATACTTCTATTGCTTACATATCACCTAACTTTTCTAATTATTTGAAATGCAATCAAAGAAACAACACAAAAGATTTTGTTCAAGAAATTATCTCAGGCAAAGTAAGTTTTCATGTATGATTGTTAGAAAATAATCACTATAGTTAACTATTTAAACGACCAGACTTAAGTCATCATCAAAAGTTGTTTTTTCAAGTACACGATTAATTATTGTCCACTTATATATACTTTCAATACTTGAAATATTGAGCCAGAATCCCTATGATACCACACAACACACAGCATCTTTAGCAGTTGTTTCCTATCACTTCTAAATTAAAGAATGACTTAGTGGGGGTAGTAACAATCCATCAATCATACGTAACAGGAAAAAAAGAAATAAAGAAAAGAGCTAAAGCCATTCTTACCTGTGCTTCCCCAAGGTCATTATTTACCACAGTGAAGTTTAGTCCAAGTTCTTCCACATCCCCTTCATAGCTCTTGAGGAAAAGCAAATTTTTGTACATTTCTGGATCTAATGAAGCTAAATGATGAATGTCAACATCAGCACTTGTCCCCAGTAATTTTGAGAGGAAAAAACTAGCAAATGGCAGCTCCACCAGCATATTTTCATAAAGAGCCTGAAAAACAAAGCAATTAAAAGAACATTAGATTTTATTGTTGTAGATGTAGGAATTCTGAAGCCTGTTGTCTATTTCTCAACCTTTTGTTAACTCCTTAGTTCAGTTGGGCTGGGTTGGGTCAGGCTGGGTATCGGTGGGCGGGTGGTGAGCAATTGTATCCTCTCCCCTTGTTATTTCCCTTATCATTATTATTATTATTGGTGGTAGCAGTAGTGGTTTTGTATTATACCTTAGTTACTGCGGCTGAATAGGATCTTCTGGTATGGCATTAGCCCATGTATTGCAAAAATTTAACAATATTCATCTTAAGTTTGAAATTTGAATATTCTTGTGAAACATCAAGCTCCCAAATTTTACAAATTATTTATGTGGTGATTTAAAAGCTAAGGTGACTGCTTATCTGTCATTAATCTTCTTGTCCTAAGTATGAGAGCAAACAGGAAGTGTTATCAATTGCATAGATTGACAAGAAAACCCAAGTTTACTAAAAAACAATGCAAATGCATCAAGAATGTCTGCCACAAGTATTTAGCATTTCTACCTGCATTAGCATCATCACAAGCAATATTTTTCCATTCATGATACGTGTAAAATTGTCTGCCCAGTAAAATTAACTATGTAAAACCATTATATTCTCAACTAATCCAAATACATTATTTCTCTTGTATGTTGTACAGATTCATCACTGCATATTTTTGGTGAATTCTACTACTTAATGGCATCAAACCATACTAATTTTCTAAGCCAAGAGCTTACCAGTTATGACTGTACCGTATGTCCAATCCTTCCTACACCTGGCACTGTTATCCCCTTCAGAAAATTACTGAACCAAAAATGAGCCCGACCCAAATATGCAGCACTCATGAAAAACATATTTTTATTGTAAACTGAGAGTTTCCCCAAGAATTTTCAAAAATGCAAGAAACTCCAGCAATACCACTCTCAGTTATCTATCTATATGACCACATCTCCATATAATGCAAAGCAACTTCGCATATTTTTCATACAAGAACTTCTTGTTTCCTTCCAACCAGTACTTATGGTAAAGTACTTATGGTAGCTCTCAAAGGAAGGAGAGATGGAAACTTCAGAGCTCAAAAGAGAAAGCATGATAAAATTTAGAAAAAACCTACATGAATAGAGGAAAAACAAAAGACTGTTGCCTTTAAGAAAACATCCCTGAAACATGCTGCCTGTGCACAGCCTTTCCCATTGTCCAGTCTGTTTGCCACATCAGCATCTCTAACAATGACAACCAAATCTTTACACTATCATTAATATCACTGCCAGGCTGATCAGAAAAGACATCATCAACATAGCATTACTGTTTGTTCGCTTTTTACTCTTCAAGAGCAGTGCTTTGGCATTACTTAATTCCCCCATAATCTGCTGCATACTTAGGAAAGGAAGCACAATGAGGCAAAAAAGGGAAAAAAGAAGAATAAATGTAGCTGTAATCATTCAATGATAATCCAACAAAGACGTTAAGAAAAATATACACAATTCCTTAAACTTTTGAAAGAACGTTTCTGTGAGGTGAGTTAGACCTTGCAGAAAGAACTGAGAATAACGAGTTCAAAGCCAAAGGGTGCATTATATTTAGAGCTGTGTGATTTATTCAAGGTGTAGAAGTCGAAATCCTCATTTGTATACTTGACTTTAAAAGCAAACTAAAGGGATAAATCATTAATTTGCAATGTATAAGGTCAGTGTTTGCTGTTCCTGCATTAGTAACAATAAAGCCATTGTAATTCCTTAAATATATCAAAGCTACCCGAATTTAAAATGGAATTCCATCTATGACTCATAAAATGTAAATGCAGAGGTGTAATTTTTTACACAAGGCAGGTTTAAGCCTTTAGAGCATTTAATATACAAGGACTAATAAATGATAGCACTAAAAACTATGATCACATCAGCTAAATGGATTATAAATTAAATTTCCATAATGTATGCAACTGAAATACAAAAGTAGACATAAATCAAGGTATTTTCTAAACACAGGTTAATTACACAAATTCAAAACCTGTCTATTTTTTATGTAAAATAATCCACTTAGCATTTTTCAAACTGATCTTAAGTCTTAGCCACTTGCAACACTTGATCCTAGAAGCCTATCAATAATTCTTTGTCAGGAAAAAACAGCAATAGGTATATTGAAGAAACTTGTATGTTATTTTTCAAATGTCTGTCTTTTATGAGTGTTTATTGCTAGAAATTGTGCCAAAATGATTTGAAATAAAAAGGATTAATTATAGTAGAAGCTTTTTAATATAAGTGAGTGCAGCTGCAATGCAATTAATGCAAATTGTGGCGCTATCAGGAAAATAAATGTGAACAACATCACTGGCTACTTCTGTTTGCTGCCAAATAACTTCAGTAATTTACTACATTAAGAATCAATAAAAAAATAATGCATTTCAAATACAACACTATTAATCTTCAGGTAGTTCCAAAGTGAACATTTATAACTTCATCTAAAAACTATATAAAGCATTTTTAAATAAACTAGATTGTGCAACTTGAGAATAACTTTAATTACTCCTTCACTTAGCTAAGTGATTGCAGTATTATGAAAGTAATTTTTGGAAACAAGATGAACAGTAGTGCTTTAATTAGTTTCCAAGTCAAGCTATCCTAATAAAATTTGATTAAAAATGCACTAAAACTCTGCTAAATAAAATCATGATAAAGTTCAGCTTTGTTTCAAAGAAGTAAAAGACACCATTACAGCTCCAGCCCTGCACAGAGATGCTGAGAAATGCTGTGTACAATTGAACATGACTAAACAAACCAAAACTTTATTTTTCAGTTTCCAACCAACTTCCCTGTTTCTCAGACAGCATAAACTAATCAAACTACTTGTTGCTGCCAGAAGATGTGATTCCACCCATTCCTGCCAGGGAGATGAAACACATCAGCTTGCTGATTCAACTGGGTTTGTTTGCAAGTGGAGTACTTGTAGAGTACCAGTTACACGAGCATTACAACATGCTGAATAAGGTTCAAAATTTTCAGATTATTTGGATCATGCTTTGTCGGGGGGGTTGGGTTTGGGTAAGGTGGGGTGAGTGTTCGTGGACACAGCACATTTGAAGTTGAGGTTTCTTTCAAGTCAGAATCTGATCCAGCTCACAGCTACAGCTGTAACACAATAGGAACAGCAGTGCTGTTTGTTTCACAAACCTTAGAGCAGTTGGTTGTCCAAGGAAGTGAACCCTAATGAGTATTTTTCTTACTCCGCTGATCTAATGACTAAAAGGAACAGTCAACCCTTCTTTCTCTTCTCTTATGATCTGTCTTGGGCAGCTGTTAAATTACTTGATTTTAACTTCATTTTCTGTTCACTGAACTCTCTGAACCAGCCTCCTGCAACATCAACATAAAGGAGGCAGAAGCCCAGAACTGGTGACAGGCAAGGGAATGGTGCCCACCTCTTACAAAGGTAACCAGCTGTCAGATTAATTATCTGCCAGATGAAGCTGCACCATTAGAATATACTTAGGTATGTACTTTAACATAATACAAGGTCACATTCTCCCCACAGAAGTGGTCCTCTTCCCCCCCAGCAGCCAATGAGTAACAACACTGAAGGAGGAAACTGGTTGTTCTTGGAGGGAGGTGACTTCTTTCTGTTTGACTAAGTCTAAAGTTCCTATTCATACACTGCTTCAAGAGATGAAAGCCAGCAAGTCTAACCAATATATATTTCAAAACTAACCTCAAATTTCAAGTACTCTCATCCTTTGGTGAAACTCTCCTTTAACTCCTGTGGTCATCACTGATAGGACCAATGCCACCCTATGTGATGAATTCTCAGAGTTCACGTTCCCAACTTTCCTATCTAAAGAGCCCCTTGACTTCACTGTCTCTCATCCTGTAGTCCCACAAACTGCAATTTACATAAAGGAAAAAATGCAGACAGGAAGTCATGAAAGGAGCAACTGGTGGCCAAACATGACATTAGACTTCTAATCTCTAACACTGGGTGGGAGGGTGGGGCACAGGACAACACACAACACTACAAACACCTTAATAGAGCCTATTATACTTCTGCCTCGTCAAAAAGCTGGGAGTACTAGCATTTCACTCCCATGGAAACACAATTTGGAGATGAAAGCTTGGAGCAAGAGACTAGTCTGAAGCACAGACAGGGATGTCTACATCAAGGGCATTCACACAAGCCATGAGCACTATAATGCCTGTAGGGTGACGCATTCCCAGTAGCTAAAAGCTTAGCCTGCTGAAAGGGCCAACCTGGATTTCCCAGCATACAGGTTAAGAATGCTCTTTAGGCAAAATTATGGTATCTCTAGATGGGAACAAATTACTTTTGCTACTCTTCACCCCAGTGTTTTCCCAAGTATCTCAATATATTTGCTAGCCTTTTTTCTTTTTTTAGGGTTGTTTTTTTGTGGTTTTTTTTTAAATGGTTAGAAGAAGCTTTTCTGGTTAAAAGGCCAAGAGCAATTACTTCACTATGGAAGAAGTAGTATTCAGTAAAAGGAACTTCATGCACCTCCCTCCCCCTCTGTGTGTGAATGCCTGGAGAAGACACCAGTATATTAAAAACAAGCAAAATAACAGAAGACCTACTGTGGTTAATAGGTTTTGACTTCACACACAAAGCACACAGTCTGGAGTCTATTGTTTGTCTTTCAAACAATATCAGCTAGTTGTGATTACAGTACAGTTCAACTGTAATTGATGGCAACATGGACTAGCTACGAAAGCCTTTACTCCGTGACACAGACCACAACTCGGTTATCTAAAGTGAAAAATATTATGTTCATATACTTAGATATACTGAATGCATTCATTAAACACCTGTAATGTGGGGCACAAGGAATGGTTCTTTAAGGCAGACAACTTTCAGAATATAGGCTGACAATTAGTAGCTTTAATATATTGCGGAAGAAAGATCTCAGCTGGAAGGACAAATGTACACAGTACATACTAAGAGAAGAAAAAAACTTACAGCTCTCTGGAGAAGGAGG